GCTGCGACATTTTCAACAATGATCTTATTATAAGACATGGATTTAGATTTATTAATTTGCTACAGGGCCCACCGGTGATCTAGTTGTTCCGTCTCCTGAACACTTGGAGTTCGGTCGTGGGTTGGGGTTTTCCGGATTTTCTTCACATCTGTAACGCCTGAATAGGGGTCAGTTACCCTTGAAAAGATCTCCGGGAAGGCATCCCCTAGGCAGATCGCCCATGTGTTGCGGTGCCAAAGCTTAACAAACAGTTTTCTAGAGTTACACAATGCAACAGATGAAGTAAACGTGCAGGCTGAAGAACCCTAAAATTGTTTTATAATAATTTGGAAGCTCTCTTTACATGTACAAAATTTTTTATTATGCATTTAATTAATTTATTTATAATTTATTTTACCTCTTATCTTTATTTTAAGCTTTTTTTTCTAAGTGTTGTACTTTTGCCAATTAGTTGAAATAATAATGATCATTTGAAAAGATAAAAAGAATGAAACTCTTTGAAAGTTTTTTATTTAAATTTTTCTCTTTAATTAAAACATTGGTTATGTTTTTTTTTCTTTATTCTGTGTACTGAAGCAGTTACATTTAAAAATTTTTGAATCAAATTAATTTAATTTAAATGAAAAGCCTATGAATGTTATAACTCGTTTCAATACGCAATATCAATGCTTTGGACCTTCCTAATGTTATCCTCTAAGACATCAATCGTGTGGAATCTGTTACAGTACACTCTTTCTTTAATATAGCCCGATAAAAAGCTCTAAATTGTTGCCACTGGCTCCTATGATATGTGGCAAGTTGCTCTATTTTGCTAGGAGTAACCCTGTGACAGAAGAGTATGTGAAAATCCACACAGCCAGCGGTCGTGCTTATGCCTCTGCTGCCATATATATATAAGACAACGCATGGGCGATCTCCAAGAAGGGTTACATTCCCGAATGATTTTCTACAGGAAACCAGCCTCTACTTAGGTATTAGACACGAGAAGAAAACCCAAAAAAACTTTATGTAGCTAGCACGTTGGTCAAGAGGAAACCAGCGACCACTGGTAGGTTCCTTGTTTCTTAAATTAAGAGTTACTATTATAGACGTGAAATATCGATAGTCAAATGTCTGTGTTAATGATGATGTGTTAAAATACTTGATATCTTTAATGTACCTGAACAGATGCTAAGTGTAAATAACCCAAAATAATAATAATAAAAAGAAAGTATCTTTATTACACAATTGCTAAATAAAACACTGTTAAAAGAATATTCTTTTAAATTTAACATTATTGCACAAAACCGTAAAAGTGAATTTAATCCCCTAAAATATTTCCTATTTTCCTATAAAAATTATCTTGTGCAATATCAAACTTTAAATGTAGCTAAAACATATATTGTAATTTTCTTTTCATTTATTAATAAAAGAGTTTTACCACAAAAGCACTTCAGAAACTGTTCAGAAACACTTCACAGCACATGTAATCCCAGTACAGATTTATGTCACACGAGCACCACTGTTGCCATGTCTCAAGCAGTAGTTTCCCCTAAAACGAAAAACAATTCCCCCTAGAAATCGAATAATGAAATAAAACTCAGAAAGCAAGCTGGATGTAATGGCCACTTAATAATACGCGAGACAGACTTTTCTCAGTTGTGAAGAGGGATAGAGCTAAGGAGAAATAAAGCGAATAAGAAGAGATACACCTTTCCTTTAACCTTGGAATTGTAATCGTGATCTTTTGGTTAAGATAAAAACACAGTGACCGTATCAAAATACAAATATATTTTTATCCCGTGGCTGTAAATCTCCCAGGATTTCCATCTCTGCCTAGAAATCATTTACCTCCCCCAAAGAGTTTCCTCTAGGTTCTTCCAAAAATATTTCTCCTTATAGAAAAAATCTACAGGGAATTTCCCAACTTGGTAACGCTGTCGAACACCTTCATGAACTTTGAAAACTTGAAAAAAACACGTTTTGAGTCTCTAAACAAAGTAGAGAACGGATTATATAGTATTATGCCACCATATTTTCCTTCAAACAATCTAATTTTCACAGAAAAGGAATAAGTGGATAAACATATATCTGTAGACAATGTGTATTTCAATTACCCACATTACCCGTATTACTTTATATATCTGTAAAATTTAAATAAGAACTAGTCTAACAATTATTCGAGAAACTCATCCATCTCTAGGCTCTGGCTTCTTTACTTCTGTATTTAAGAATCACTTATAATTATAATATTAAAACGACCTTCATATAATTTATAAGCCTATATATGTTTTAAAAAGTAACATATATATTTTCTCTCTCAAATTTTAATCATATTTTTAATTTATTTAACTCAAAATATATGCTCTCCATCTTCAATTAGTATTTACTTGCCCCTGTAAATCATACTTTTCCTTTAGCAGTGGAGTTGTGCCAGTCAGCTATCTAACTCCATTCTCGAGATTAAGGAAACAAACAGACATATCTTCTTTATCAATTTTCTACAATTATTTATAAATATTTTTCATTTTTTTTCCGTTCTGTAAGCACTTAGAGTGGCCTTATTATTATGCCCAACATGGGTGTGATAAGCCCACAATGGGACGGAACGGTAATGATGGAAGGAATCCAAAATATCCAGAAGAGATAAGCCCTGAAGAATATGTTATATATAACATATAGTAATATATTATACAGTAATTTTTATTCACAACTGCATACCTACTTTTGTATCCCTATGTATAATAGTACTTTCCCTCTTATATATAACAGAGACGTGAGAGTAAAAATTCATTTTTTATGGTCACTCGTAAAACCTATTTTAACATAAATACATATATATTTTATGACTTTATTATTACTTTTTATAAAAGAAAAATAAGGATACTTTCTGCTAGAAAATCTTACCTTCTAAGAAAATAATATAAACTATCAGAATCGCATAATATTAAAGGATAAATGAAAGATTTAAAAAATGAAAACCCGAAGATTTTCAAATAATCAATAGCAATATATAAAGATTTATATATTTTTTTAAAGTCGTCGTTTATTAAAGAATAAAATATATTTTCTATTGAAAATAAGTAGGTCAGGTAAATACCCTTTCGCTTGGATATTGATATTTTCATTGCCAAAATGTAATTTCACAAGAAACGTATATTGAAATTCCAAACAGCTTTTCATATACTTTTATACCAAATTATTTTAAGAAATAAATAAATTGATAAAACTTGTAACAATATATTTATGTTAAAGAATACAAAATAGAATATTTTAAAACTTCTAGTTTTATTTTAACTAAGTTTTATACATTTGTCTTTACGGACGAACTAAGGACAGTGGAAATGTGTAGACTAGGGGGTCCCCAAACTTTTTATTTCATCGATCACTTCATAGAATATTTCCCTTCTTATCGACCCCCAGATTAAATATTTTTGATGTTAAGCAATAAGAAGACCTGCATAACAACTCAACGAAAGAATTTATAGTTCTATCTTATAAAATCTACCCAATAACATTAACAGAAAAAGGAGATATTTTCCACTGATCTTAAAAAACAATAGCAAAATTATGGATATATGGAAATTTGTCTATACAGTCTACCCCCCATAACACTGTTAATTATTCCGTTTTATATGAATTCCATGTTGTACGAGTCACTTAGATTTTACAAATACATGAGCCGTTCACAGCCCGGCACACGTATTTGTAAAATCTAAGTGACTCGTACAACATGGAATTCATATAAAACGGAATAATCAACAGTGTTATAGGGGGTCGACTGTACCTGATTAACAGATTTTATGAAGAAACGATCTTATCAATCACAAATTATAATTATATACACTAGAGTTTTAAATTTCTACATTAACTTGATAAAGGTACAACAAAACCATTACCATTGAATGATTGAAAAAGCTATAACCATAGAATAATTACCTGAATATGTAATTTTAATATTTATATACTGTATAATTAATTTTTGAAGAAAATAGTTAAATATATACAGTTTTATTTTATACCATTACGTATACAAAATGTTATAAACTGAATTAGAAAGTAACCAAATAAATTCCATGTACAGTACATACAGAAAATGTGTTTACTTTAATTACCATCCGTCTCCCCCTCTTCACGCCTTCCTATGTATGTAAACTGAACAAATGTATATATCATTTGCTTTTGGTATTTTCCATTCAACTAGAAGAGAAGCAGCAAGATTATTGATATTCGGTAAGTTTTAGTCGCAAATCACCACGGTTTTCCAAGTACAATCTGTTCCTCTGTATTGTCAAAATTGTATTCATGTGGATAAAACCATCTTCAACCATGTACGAAGTAAGAAAGGTTCGGCTTCTGCTCTGAGCTTGGGATATTTAATGGCAGTATTGTTATTGCTCCAAAATTCACTGAGGTTTTTGTTTTTAAACAACGCTTTAGCTTCGACATCTACACATATTTCAATCAGCTCATCTTCTAAGCCAGGTTCACTACCTTCATTATTTATTTTTACATCAAATGGATTAGCAAACCATTCGGGAACAAGCATATTCTCCAAGTCTTCTCTTAATTTATCAAAATGTTTAATATATATCTCCAATTCACAATAAAAAATCTTTTCATTTACTTTTAGTACTTGCAAGTTTGAAAAATATTCAAAATCGATTCGTGCCAGTGAAGATTTAAATAGCTCCATTTTTACCTGAAAGGCCATTATGATTGTTCCAGCTTGAACAATTGTAACATTTTTTCCATGCAAACGCTTCTGTACTATATTAAATTTCGAATAAAGATCTGCCAAATAGAACAGATGGTTCTTGCACTGTTTTAACTGGTGGTCACATAACGATGGATCCACATTCCTAAGAAACTCTTCAGCTGAGTCCTACAAGTCAACAAGCCACTGTAACCTATCACCTCTTGACAACCACCTTACCTCGGTGTGCAAAAGTAATTGGTTGAAAGTTTCATTATTTTCTTCATATAACTTTGCAAACAGTCTGGAATTGAGAGGATGACCTTTAATTTTGTTTATTGACCACTTTTAGAGTATTATGAAGTTCTCCACTCAGTTTTTTTTTGGCTACAAGATGCTGCCTGTGTAGGACACAGTGAACAGTATGTACTTTGGGAACCTTTTTCTTCAGAAAGACGAAAAATCCTCTGTAACGGCCTACCATAGCAGGTGCACCGTCAGTAGCTACTGCGGTAATATTCCCGAAAGGAATGTTGTGCTTGTTCAAATAATCTTGCAAACATAAAAAAATTGTCTCACCTTTTGAATCAGTTTCAAGATATTTAGCAAATAGAAATTCATCAACAGTGTCATTCAGGGATGGACTATGAAATCTAACATAAGCCATGAGAAGATTTGAACTTCCGAAAGTTGATTCGTCAAGTTGAATAGCAAACTTACAATGCTGGAGCTCAGAGGTCAAAGTTCTTTCCACATCATCGGCCATTTCCTCGATACGTCGTTGCACAGTATTGGCACTTAATGGTATGCATTTTAAAACTAGTTGGGAGTCTTTCTTCATAACATTTTCAATTACATCTTTTATAGCTGGTATTATAATCTCTTCACCAATAGTATACGGTTTGCCTTTCTTTGCAATATTAAGAGAGATGCTGTAGGATGTCTTCAGTCCTC